TGAATGTCCTACTTAATCTATACCTAGAAATAATTTTAAAGCAATAATGAACAGCTTGATAGAAAGTACAAAGTCTCTCTTGGAGTTAGTACCTGAACATTTATGCATTTTTCAATCAGAGGCAGCATGTAGAAGCATGCTTTGGTAACACACAATGAGATTTTATTTTCTGCAATAAAGGAGGCTGAAGTTCTGTCTCTTTGTTGGATAATGGATGGAACTGGAGATCATAATGCTGAGCAAATTAAGTCAGTCTCACGATGACAAAATCAGATGGTTTCTAAAATTCGTGGGTTCTGGACTACATAGACACTTAAAATGATGTATGTACATATGGCATGAAAACAGATGCAAAACTTCAGTGGGATGAAGGGAACTTTTGGGAACTCTCTAATGCTTTCTGCTGTGCTGGTAAGCAAGCAGAAATTGACTGTCACACACTCGCAAATTATGACAGTCCCCCACCAGAGCCTAATCATGTTGGCTAGTAGCAACAGGATCTGGTTTAAAGTCATAGGGTCTTTGTCTAAATCCCAGAACTGCCTGCCTTAGTTGTGACATATTGAATAAACTGAACAAGTGTTTTTTTTTCCTTCTGTGTTTGCTTTTTCACTTATAGTAATAATATTCACATTAAGACCATGGTTCTCAACCTGTGAGTCACAAACCTTGGGTTGGATATCAGATATTACATTACAATTCATGACAGTGGCAAAATTACACTTATTAATTAGCAGCGAAATGATTTTATGGTTTTGGGTCATCACAACATGAGGAATTGTATTAAAGGATTGAAGCATTAGAAAGATTGAGAACCACTGCCTTAAGAGAGAATGGTGAAGACAAATGTGGATGCTAGTCAGCTTATCAAAAGCTCCCCATGATGCCTGCCTACTAGAAATCATGCCATCGTGTCTGTAGAATGGACATAGTGATGTCTAATGAATCCATTAGGGAAAAGGGACAGGATGTCATAAAAGGCTCATCTCCCTGTTGTTGGCATTCTGGGTCACAATTCTTGCATCACATTTTGATAGGGCACTATTCAGACTGTAGCCAGAGAGTAACTGAGACCCATAGTGCATCAGGACCCCGGGACCTCATTGTGACCAGTAATACGATAACTATGAGCGTGTGCTTGCAAGTCAAGTCATTGGCTCATACTGTGCTTATGGCCTGAATCATGAAACCCAGAAAAACTGGCCAGGGATTGACAACCTAAGTTTACCTGTGAAACTATATAAATTATCCTTAAAATTAACTCTATGTTGAGCACTTCGCTAAATAGTAATGGCTAACTAACGTAGCATGAACCTCAGTATGAAGTTTTATATGACAGGAAGTCACCAGGATTGCCTAGTGGGTAAAGTCCAGTGACTTCAATTCAATCTTTTGAACACACATGCTGGATGGAGAGAACCAACTCCTATATTGCCCTCTGGTCTACACATCTGTGCCATGGCACACATGTACAGGCACACACATGTATAGAGATACATATATATAGTAAAAAATGGAAAATAAATATATGGAATAAATTTATTATATATGTATATCCCATAAATATATATAGTGGCTATTACCAATCAAAACTGTCTTCCTGGTTAAGTCCAGATAGAGCCTCAGAATCACCCCCAACAAAGTTTATGTTTGAAATTGACATTTGCAAGCAGCATGTATGTGTTTGTGCATAATATGTATCTATAAATATACATATATATATATAAAACGAGTAATAGATTTTTTTCAAATGTGTATACACTGTAGAACAGCTCAATAGAGCCAATATATTAGCATATATATTTCCTCATGCATATGTGGTCTTTTTGGGAAGTTAACACTTGAAGACTACTCTTAGTAGTTTTTGAAACTAATGATAAATCGGTTTTAAAGTCAGGCAGACCTTTGTCTAAATGCCAGAGCTGCTTGTCTGAGTCGTGCTCCCTTGACTAAGAGACTCCACCGCCGGTGCTTCCTTCCTCACTTGTAACAGTAGTGTTCATCTTAAGAGGTCACGGTGAAGACTAAGTGGCAACAGTCCTGGGTGGCAGGCTGATGTCACCATGTTATACAGTATAGCTCTTGAACTTATTCTTCATACTGAAACAGGATTATTCTTTTGACTAACATTTCCTTAATTTCTCACAAAAGTTACTCTACATAATTGATTCGCCTTTTATTTCCCAGATGCATGCACACACTATTGGAAACATAGTAGGTACTTGCTGCATATGGGTGGGTAACAAGGAGCACACAGCTTGCTCCTGCTTGCAGCAAGTTTATAGTCTAGACCAAGAACTGATACCATTTAAATAAACACATGAACTACTGTGGTGCTTGCTTGCTATAACAGTAGTCTCCTTGGTGTTATTGCCATGGTTTGTCTCCCTTTTTTTCATCTTTTCACTTTATCATTCCTTCCTCTGAGGCAGGAGCCCCTGGCCTGACACACATATCTAGAAGAGGTCTGTTCTGGTGACCCAAGGACAGTGTCATGAATCTAGCTTTTTATTACTCTTCCCTCAACACAGTCAGGGGACCACTCACAGATCAAGAGACACCACCAAAAGCATGGGGTAGCTGTATGTGTGGAGAAAGCTTTGCATGTGTGAGAATGTTTTGATGTCATTTAAAATGTAACTTCAAATAACAAATATCGTTAAACAAGGGATTGAATAAATAGATTGCCATTGATACCTTAGATATAATGCTAATTCACAATAAAAATTGATATGTACACATGAAGCACATAAATAAGGGAACACATCTATGATGTACAGTTAAAAGACAGTTACTCAATCCTACTAAAACCTACTGTGTTCCAGAGATCAGCGAACCATGGCCTGCTGACCAAATGCAGCCACTCTGCATTGGGTAGATATGTGGAACATGGCCACATTCTTTAGTTTGTGTTTTGCCTACAGCACAGAGAGAATGGCTTGAAATGCCTACCATTGATTCCATGTGATCATTTACAGAAAAGGTTGAAGATTTCTGGTCTACTATTAGATGTTGTTGAATGTCAGTCTATGACTTTTCTGCATTATTGCTTCACATCTCTCAATTTCCTATTAGATCTAAATTGGTGTATTTGTCACTTTTTGTCACTGTTACAAAATATCTGTGAAAATCAAGTTAAATTAGGGAAGGTTATTTCATCTACAACTTTGGGACTTTGTAATTTCTGATGAGCTCACTTCATTGCTATGGGCCTCCTAGTGTCAGGAAAGTGAAAGAAAGACTTTCCAGGAAACTTGAGGATCTAGGGACAAGACATGCCTCCTAAGACTCACCTCGAGAGAGCTACCTCCCTTACCTCCTAGTTTCCATCACCTCATAATAACTCCATCAAATTATGAGTCCATCAATAAAGTAATACACTGATGAAAAAAATAGTTACTAAAGTAAATACACACACATTGTTATGTATAAATACTATCCATATACATGCATATATGTACACACACACACACACACACACACACACATATATATATATATATATATAATCTGTAATGAAACTTCAGGAGTACTTTTATGTTTATAAAATTTATGTACCATGTCACTAGCTGGAAAATTTAAAGAAATATGGTAACAGGTGAACATTTCATCTTGCCCAGGTATCATATTTATGCTATAGTTGGGGCCTTCAAGGACTGTTTCAGGGGTTTTCATGGATGTTTAGGATGGATCAGTTAAAGGGATTTGGAAGACAACATAGTCTTTGTGCAGGAATCCAACCACTTTGCCCACATACAGCACACATCTTGTTTTCTTTGGTCACACAAAGCAGTCGCCTATGATTCATGAGGGGAGTTAGTACACAGAAGAGTAAATTTGACAGTCACATTAATATAATCAACTCCTAGAGGTAGGCACCAACTGAAATTCTTTAGCTAATGCCTGATAGCCACCCCAAACCTGATATTTAGTTTTCTTTTCCTGTGACTTCTTTTTCGACAGGTGGAATGTTTTATTGAGCATCCAGTATCTCTGGAGCTGTGCATGTCTTTGTGAAGATTCCAGACAAATTAGAAAGTCAAATTAGAATGCATATTTAGTGCTTCTTTGTAGTTGTTGTTTTTTTTTTAAGTTGGCAGCAATGTTTACTCTTTGAGGGGGAGTTTATAATTATGCAAATTGAAGAAAGTCTGCTTATGGTATAATGATAATGACTTGGGTTTTATATCCAGAGTCAAAGTATTTCTGTTCATTTCTTAACTTCCCCTGTGACTTGACAGGAGGTTAGCCAAGGTGGAGATCTTGGGAATGGATATTTCATCAGTTTAATATTAGAAGAAAAACTGATGAAATTTTCATAGCCTTATTGTCCCACAGACACTGCCAATGGCCTGGAAAATGAACATTCATCCTCTTGTCTTCTTTCTAGTAAGATATTCACTTTGTTTACTTTGCTCCAGAAGACCCTGGTATTTCAGAGTTACCATCTCTAGACCTAGGAACACTAATTACTGGTGTAAGACATGGTGGGTGTTCCCACATGCTCTGTCAGAAGAGCATGTGACACATTCAGGAAAATGAACACAAGTAGACGTTTGCTGGGACCTTTCTAGAAAAGTGCATAAAAAGAGAAATGTCCATTTGAAGTTGTCAGAATCAGGTTTGGATGGCATTGTTAGTTGTCTCCAACTCTATGGACTTGCTCTTTGTTAGACTTCCTACTATACAAGTCAATAACTTTTATAGCACTTAAGCCATAGTGAGCCTATATATTCTTTTATTTACAGACAACAACACATCTCAATGATATAAATCCTGATAGTTCTTAAATTGTTCAGTGTGTGTGCATGTTCATGTTTATGCATATGTAAACATTGTAGAGACACTAGAGCTGTATACTCGGCATCTGATTAACTAATGAAATTAGCTAACACTTGCTCAAGTGCACGGAGGGAAACAATTGCAGTTTAGTGATGCTCTTCTGGGTACCAGAGGAGTCCACATTGTATGATCAACCAATGAGAAGAAAAACTACTTACTCTTCACACTTTTGCTTTCACTGGAACACGTTTTTCCAGTCACTCATGATCTTCTTGCCACTGTGAGGCTGAAAGACACAGAAGGGGGAATAAATATAAAATGCGCAATCTCATTTTGGCATCAGGCAGTCATTAAGTATTTTGCCCTTTCCATTCCAGCTGGATGATTCCAGCCCCAAATCAACTTCACAAGGAAGCTGGACATTTTCCCAGGAAGCCGTTTCAATGGCAACAGTTTGCTCTGACCAGGGAATCAGGTCTACTGTTTTATCTGCCGACATGACGAATACAAATGATGTTCCATGTTCCCTTGGATGTCAGTCTAAATGCCTCTTCATTCCATGGGACACATCTTAGTCCAAACACTTGGTGCATTTTAATTTTGCCACATAGACTGGTTCAGGAAGAGGATAAGATTTGATTCAAGGTAATAAAAGTAAGACATACTTGTGTTGAAAATGTGGAAGGAGCGAGAAGGTCTCTTTCTATGGTGTTAGATGTGGAGAAGATACATTACTGGCAGTTCTCTCTCTCTCTCTCTCTCTCTCTCTCTCTCTCTCTCTCCCTCCCTCCCTTTCTCTCTCTCTCTGTCTCTCTCTCTCTCTGTGTCTGTCTGTCTGTCTGTCTGCCTGCCTGCCTGCCTGCCTGCCTGCCTGTATTTGTGTATATTGCAGTTTTGAGTGAAAGGTACCTAGTTCTGCTATGGCCTCTGGATCCAGCCATGATTGAATGATTGACACCTTTAGGAGTAAGCAATGCATACCCCCTTTGTTGCTAAGCCAGGCTAATTTGAATGTGTTGGCTTTTGTTCTGCTTAATCAACTTGGTTTTGTCCTTTATACCCATTCACCGATTACAATAAAATGAAGATAGCTGACATACTAATCAGTGTTTTCATTAATCTTTTTTTATCATTTTTTATTTTAATTTTAAAAGCTTGTTTACATGTCAATCCCAGTTCCCTCTCCCTCCCCTCCTCCTGCACTCCCCTTCCCCCCTCCCTCCCACCCTATTGCCAAATCCTTCCACATAGGGGATATCTAGAGTCTGTCATTTTACTCTTGGTAGGGTCCAGGCACTCCCCTAAGAGTCCAGGCTGAGAGAGCGTCTCTCTTTGTGCTATAGGCACATGAAGACAGTTTGTATACCAGGGATAGACACTGATCCACAGCTCAGAGCCCCATAGGTTGCCCAGGCCTTCTCACTGACACTCACATTTGGGGGGTCCAGATCAGTCCCATGCTGGCCTCCCCACTGTCAGTCTAGGGTCCAAGAGCTCTCCCCTGTTCAGATCAGCTGTCTCTGCTGGTTTTGCCAGCCCATTCTTTGCCAATTTGCTCATCACTCCTCTCTCTCTGTCACTGGGTTCCTTGGGTTCAGTTCAGTGATTAATTGTGTGTTTGCCTCTGCTTCCATCAGTCACAGGATGAAGGCTCCCGTATGGTTATAGACATCAAGTTCATTATCAGGAATGGGCATTCGAGGTGGTCCCTCCACTATTGCTTAGCTTGCCAATTGGTTTTATCCCTTTAGATCACTCGAGGTCACTCTGGTGCCTGATCTGTATTCGATCCTATGATTCCCTCTTCCCCCATTCTACCCCCACCCCCTCAACTTCCTGTTCCCCCATGACCAACTCCCTTCCTCTTCACCCCCTCTCTTCTTCCCGAGTCCCACTCCCCCCCACCCCTCGCCGTGTTCCCCATCCATTCAGAGGATCTTGTCTCCATCCTCTTCTCTTGGGAACTATGCATATATGCATATCTTTTAGGTTCTTTCCTGTTTTCATTAATCTTAACCCTTTTTGCTTTATTATTAACAGAGGGAAAGGATATCTGGTACAGGAAACCTAGGCTGATTTCCCAGGGCTAGTGGGATCATGGACCTTACAAAAGAGTCTACTACCACAACTTTCCTAGGCTAGTACAATTCCTTACTTTATTCTAAATCTTACCCTTATATCAAAAGATAATTGTAGGCACTACCTCTCATCAAGGGAGCCTTTCTTTATAGTAAATGGAGACCATAATAGAAACTTGAGGCAATGCAAAGATCAACAAAGTACATGGAGTTCAACCCAATGGATAGATCTGCATCCCAGCTCCTGCATCTTTGGCTCAGAGAACAACTTGAAAGAGGAGGTGGAAAGATTGTAAGAGCCAGAATACCAGGATGTCTGCTGTGAAAGTGTCTCTCTTAGAAATGACTGAATATTTTCCCCTTCCCAGGGAAATCTATGCTATTTAGCCTCTCTAGGGCTGCGGATGGTAGGTTGGTTATTCTGTACTTTGCTCCTGATATCTACTTATGAGTGAATGCATGCTATGCTTGTCTTTCTGGATCTGGGTTACCTCACTCAGAATGATTTGGGCAGCCTACCTCTTTCTGAATAGAGATGGAGGAGGATTGGATGGGGAGGGAGCTGCATGGAAGTCAGGGAGAGGGAACTGGAGCAGAGAGGGGAAACTGCAGCCATTATGTAAAATTAATTTAAAAATGTTAATAAAATTATGTTTCTACTTTAAATAAAAAAGAAAACAGTAAGGAAGCTAATCATTAGGATTGGGAGGAGGGCAATAGAGGGTAATGGGGTTTGGGGTGATCAGGATGATCAAAATGCATTATGTATATGTATAAAACTCATCATGTCTGATTAACATATGCTAATAAAACATTTTTAAAGTTAAAAATGTTAATAAAATAAAATATAAAAAGAAATGACAGCATAAAAGTCCAGAACAATGGCAGTATCAATAGGCATGCTAACATGTAAGGGAGAAAATTTCATGGGGTTTTACCTATAGACAAAGAACTACAGGCAACTAATGACTACTGGGAGTAGGGGAATAAGCCTTTCCCAAGCATGAGCATAGTTATTGGTTGTACAATGCAAAATATTCAACCTTGAAACCATATACAGACATACAAGAACATAGACTCAGCAGAATGTATTCGTAAATACGTATGCACACACATGCACACACATGTACATAAGCTCACAAATACACAGTCATACATATACGCCTGAGTGCACTTGTGTACACACACACACACACACACACACACACACACACACACAGACAGACACACACACACACACAGAACGTGGGCTTTAGATGCAAGTGTTTCTTCCCCTAGAAGCATCTGACCAGGGGTAGTTTGGTATTAATTGACTCTAGTTGTCTAAGGATGCAACATGTCTTCGTTTCCTTCATTTTGTCTTTCTGACCTGGTCATCTCTGTACCAGGTCTCTTTGCTGGCTTGTGACTGGACTAACCTTACACAGCACTCTGACCTTCCCAGGGCCCAATTTATTCACTGTGAGTCACTACATAAGGATCACAAAGAAACTGTCCACAGCCCCAACATTGGATCTTGATGAACTTTATTTGGCTCATATTTTTAGAAATCGATCTATCTTTAAACACTCAAAAGTTTTACACTAGAGGAATTTAGATTTCCTATAAAAAAAAAGAGCAAGGGGGCTATTAAGCGGTCTTCTTTCCCACATGATGACCCAGGATGTGAGTGGTGTCTGTCATGTGTAAGCTGGGCAAGGCTGTTCTTTGGCCTTATCCTCCATGTGGTTTTCTTTGCTCACTTCTGCCACCTGCCGGGCTAACTGGAAGCACCTTGACAGTCAACCTCTGCCCCAAGTTTGCCTTTTACCACATACTTGGGGCTAAATCAACTGACTTCTACCATGCTTCACAGTGGCTCTATCTGAAAGCGGCTTGGGTATATTCATGTTCCCATCAGTCTCCGGTCCTTCTATAAATAGCTCTGTGTGGCTTTCTTTTATTTTTCTGTATCTTTGACCTATTTTCTAGCACCCCTCAAAATGCATACATTATTTATTTGATTAGGGTTTATAAGTGAATTTGTGAAAATGAAATTTTGCTATTTCCTTCAGGGGACAGAAAGCAGATGAAACTGTGTGGTGCGATCTACCAGGCAACACATGAGACATCTGAAGATTTGGTTACTCTGTGTCCTTTTCTAAATCATCCCCCTCTCTTGATTTTAGTTGTATGTCTATCAGATAAGGAAGTGTAGCTAGAACACAAGTTATAAGCTGCCCACCCATTGCTTCTGCCCAGTTATTGGGTCCTATTGTTTTTCAATGAGTAAATACAACAACTTAAGGGAGTGTGTCAATAAATAACCTAGAATACAGTCATCCCAGGACTTTTTAACAATTCAACAGTCTTTTTTCAAATTCCTGATATCATTAATAGGGTATGTGGCTTCTCCCATTCTTCACCCACCTCCAAGAGCACATACTTGTTGCCTCACCATTTATTTTAATCACTGTGTCTTTGTCATGCCTCGTGAGCACTTTCTCTTGATGCCCTTGAATGACGTGTACCTCATGACACTCCTTTCATGAGAGGATGATGCTGAATATCAGAGATGACTTGAAGTATTCTGCTAACCCTTAAGGAATTGTTCCTCCTTCCCAGGGGGAAGCTGAGAAGCAGCAGAGTATGCAGGCAGGCCTTTGTGAAGGTCCTTCCAAACAGCTAAACCTGAAAAGGCATCAGCCTGGCTTTGCAAGTAGCAGAAATATTCTTCCGTTGGGGTTGGTAGCTGATTCTCTAAGTAATTTGCAATTCAAGTGTCTCTTTGTTTTGTATGAAAATTTGCTGCTATTTGGAAAGTGGGGACGAGCTAAATTGCATCCTGCTGGTTTTACTTTGACTGTATCAAAAAAGAAACTGTTAATCTGGTTCCATAATTAACTTTCCTGTTTTAAAAAGGCCCTGGGAGAGAGTCCAGAGAGTGGCTGTCAACTCCCTGCCTCTCTTCTCAATAATGCTGTTCAATAGGATGCTGAAAGGAGAACCGGTCCAGGTGGAGAGGGCTCTTGATCATCTCTCTGATCTTCTGTCTCCTTTATCCCTATCCAGCTAACATTTACTAAGCTCCTGCTGCAGGTAAGGCACAAGATCAGTTGGGGATATCAAGATAATACATCCCCAAGGTGCTGCCAGGAAACATAGTTAATTTTCCATCTATCCCTCACTCTCCTCCCTCCAAAATACATACAGTTTGGTTTTTGAAGTC